TCATTTGCTGGCATCTGGTAATTTGTAAACTGTATTTGCCAGATCTGCTGTCTGTGCTATTACAAACAATTTGGAGCAGATGAATCCAGCAGAAAGCCTTTTCCTTTTGGTGGAAACATTCCCTAATTTGTTGCCCTTCTTTGTGTTCCAGACAGAGTAAAACAAAAAGCAGCAGCTAATTTATGTTTCTTGATGTGTAGGATTAAAGCCAAGTTTTCTTTATTTTATACAGCAAGAGAAACTAAGGAAAGGGACAATAATTGGACAGAACTAACAGGACATTCCTATTTAAAGGGCATCAAGATCGTGTTGTCTCATTTACTCTAGCAAGGATTAGAATAGATCATCAGAAGGTTAGCAAATATCAGAAAATGAGATGTCTGAAAGATGGGAGCTTGAATTTTGCCTACAAACGTTTTAATTTTTCACCAAAACTTCCTAAGAACAAAGTGTCGCTTGTAGAAATGTAACTTTTGTGGTTGATTAGGAGATTCCAGCAAGGGAGCAGCCTGCTGAGCATGGGGATTGACAGTGGATGCCACAGAGCTTGTCACAGCAAGGACAGCTTTTAATAGGAAAAAGAAGGAAAAAATCCAAGTGCTGTTTCCACCCCTGCATGAGGACAGGTCCAAAAGGCCAGTAATAATCCCCCCCATGGCCACCCATGCACAATGCTGGCGCCAACTTGGCATTGGTCCTACAGACTCTGCAGCAAGGCCAAAAATGAACAAAACTGCTGCAGGAGCTTCCCTGCCTGTCTCTCTCTCCATCAATCCATCAGGCCTGGGGAAAACCAAGACAGCATCAGGCTTCACATGGGATTTCTCAGCAGGCCTCCTCTCCCATTGCAGATCTAAGAGGCTGTGGTGATTTGTATCTTTGAATATGTTTTCAGTTCATTTTCCTTTTAATGATGCTGAAGAAAGGGGTGTCAACACAGAGGAAGATGTATCTGTCGCTCCTCACCGCTCTGGTTTCTAGCAGCAGGCAGGCTGCTGCTTGGAGCTGGCGAGAAAAAATACTGTGGTTGGTTTCGCTGTTGGTTTTCTGAGGAAGGAAAAAATGCCAGCACTAATAACTCATTGACTTGGAGCATATAAAACTGTAAACAAAAAAAATGATCCCAAAGATCTTCCTCAGAAACCTGAAACATTTCAAATGTCACCGTGATGCTTCAGAGTGCCTCCTTTTGCTTGGCCATGGCCTGTGTCCCAGGGTGGCTTGGACCTGGAGATGAGCACCATTTCCCCTCCTTAGGGGTCCTTGTGGGAGTCTCTGGCTGCAGTATCCCATAGGAAGTGTCCATTGAGGGAATATAGCTGATAAGGCATGTTGTAGGCGAGAGGTACCCAGCTTCAGTCTCCAAGAGTCACAGAATGGCTGAGGCTGGAAGTGCCTCTGGAGACCATCTAGTCCAGCCCATGCTCAGGGCAGGTTTGGCTGTTGTGGGTTGCTCAAAGCCACATCTGTTTGGGTTTTGGGTATCTCCAAGGACGGAGACCTTACAACTTCTCTTAGCAATCTGTGCCAGTGCTTGCTCACCCTCATAGTAGAAAAGTCAGTCGTGATGGCAACACTTCCAAACACAAAACTCAATAATTATTAACTTAAAAACTCTTCGGGTTTTCTCTTTTTTTTTTTTTTTTTTTTTTTTTTTTTTAAAAATGGGGGTTCCAAAAAAAAAAAAAAAAAAGAGGAAAGGTGGTTAGGTCAAATTAAAAAAAAAAAATAAAAAAAAAAAAAAATTAAAAAAAAAAAAAGGTGATTTTTGGCAGATTTTAACACTTTTCCATGCGCTTGGCGTTTGTTTTCATTAAAACAAAAAAACATTTTTTGAAACAATGTTTTCCCTCAACAAGCTATCCTCATGGACCCTTTGAGAATAATCCCACTGCTTCTATCTTCATACCAAAGCAGCACCTGCCTGTGGATTGCGTTGCACTGTTGACAGAAGGGTTGGTGATACTGTCAACCATTATTAACATTATTTATTCAGCACCTGGCAAACGTAATTGGGCCCTTTGTGCTAGGCACTGCCCAAACAAACTGGGAGGAAGACAACCTGTTCCTAAAGAAGGTGTTATTTACCTGTTAAACAGTAGGTTGCAAAGAAGTGGGTGGAGGGAAGCGAGGACACCAAAGCTTTTGTGCTGATTCTGAACTTTATCAGCATTACTTCCCTCATGGTGGAGTCTCCGTCTCTGGAGACGTTCAAAACCCGCCTGGACGTGTTCCTGTGCAACCTGCTGTAGGTGGACCTGCTTTGGCAGGGGGGTTGGACTAGATGATCTCCAGAGGTCCCTTCCAACCCCATATCATTCTGTGATTCTGCACATGGGAGAAGAGCGAGATCCTGGCTGTGCTACCCAAGAGCATTAGGCAGTCAAATGGACAGAGATGTCCTGTAGGTGTGGCCTTTTCCTGGAGACATATGAAATCCCTCTGGTGCCTTTTGGATCCTCTATTCATTTTTTAAAAGCTGCAGTATGAGTGCACTTAATACATATTTTAGAAGGACACACTTTTTTAAAAGCCTAAGAAATAGTCATTTACATTTTTCAGTTGCAGTGTTTTTCAGTCAGGAAATTAGCTCAAGAGAAAAAGGAGCAAGTGCATAATTATTTCTTCTTTTGGAAAAATGCCTTTCCACTGAAAAGACATATTTTTGAGTCTGCAAACAAGAGCAGTAGGGGATTTCTCTTACCAATGTTCCTTCCCAAGTAGAGGAAGAAAAATTGTGGTTTCACCAGGGGAAGAAAATGCAGTGTTTAAGGGGGCAGGTGTCAGAGTTTTGAAGGATGTCCAGGACTTTTGGAGCAGTCCAGCACTTGCCCTTCCAAATGCCTCCACTGGGAAGAAAGCTGGAAGAACTAAGGAAAGGGATGAAGTGGCAGTCAAGCAGATAGTCCAGTGAAAATCATGTCTTTGGGCATTTTAGAGAAAAGGTAAGAAACTGATGTAGGAGGGCTTGCCTGGGTAGTGTCAACTCAAAGCATTTCTGTCCATGGTTTTCCATCTAGCTCAGCTCACTTGGCCTTGAAGCTTTGCCAGTTCACCTGAAGGACAACTACTCTCACAACATGCCCATCTTCCTCTTTCCATGAAACTGCTTTTCCTTTAACTTCAAAGAGTCGGTAAAATATGTTAGTTTCTGATTGCCAGGTGGTATAACCAAATACATTGCAACTACAGGTTTCCTGAAACTAGGCAAAGATATTAATGTTCATAAGTCAAAGTCAACTAGAAGAAACAATCAGCTTTTGATACATTTGTTTGTTTTTTTCTTTTCTTTTTCTTCCTTTCCTCCATACCTTATTGTTTGGTTGTGAGTTATTCCAGGGGTTTGAGAGGGTTTTGTATGTATTTACCCAGTTTTAGTGGGTTTACTTTTAATATATGTATGCCTTAGTCATGAGCAGTTTGAGGTTCTGGTGCAGCAAGGAGTCGGTGGTGTGCTTGCAGCCCGTTACTCTGGCCTTTTCCACCCAGTTAGACAATATCCCATTTTGAAATGACAAAATGCTTCTTTTTGCAAGATGAAGCAAAAGAAACTTGAACGGGTCTCTCAGGCCTCGCAAAGGCAAAACTCCCATTAATGGCAAGGAAGAAACTGCTTTGCTTGAGGAAAAACTCAGTGCTAAGGACACTGGTGCTAATTTTTGCTTCTGGCCAGGCAGGCGTTTTGGAGGGCTGTGGTGGAGATGTTGTCTCCCTGCTCCCGAGCATCCTGTGCAGTGCCAGCCAACCCTGGGTGTTCCCTGACTCAAAATGCTCAGTGTCACCCTTTGCCCATCCCCTGCCAGACCTTGCGGCTGCCGGAGCCCGACATTGGTTCCTTGTAGGGCAAAGCATCTCATGGTCTAAGGATTTAGAGCCACAGAGGTTTTTCACGTAGTTTGGAAGCAGGAGCTGGTATCCACCAAGATGTGGGCACGTAAATCCAGTCTCAGCATCAAACAGGTTGGCTCCCACAGCTGCTCTGTCTGGATTTGGTTGCAGGTGTGGGCAACAGTGGAGAAATGAGGCCAGGAGGGAGGGTGGCATCTCCTTCCTTCCCAAGGAGGAGAGGTAGGGCTGAGCATGCAGTCATCACTTTGGCACAGGAACCATTTAGGTCTCTCTCTGGTGCTCTGTGTGTGCAGACCATATGTTACATCCCAGCTTTCTCTCTCCTGTTTACTTCTACCCGTTTTCCCATGTGCCATCAGCCCTGGGGCTCTTTTTTCTCTTCTAGTCTCTCTTGGCCAGCAGACTGTAATTCCTAGGTCATCTTCAAAGGAGGCACAGAGCAGTAAAAGCCCAAGCCCTGGGGTGATGCTGGAAGCGCATCCTCCAGCAAAGCCCTGGAGAAGCCTTGCCTTTCAAGGGGCTACTTGAAATACTCTCTGAAACACAAAACCGTTTACCAGGTTACAAAAGAGTTATTCCATTGACCCACGCAGTAAAACACTTGTAAATATGTAGTATAGAGGAGGCACCCAGTATGATGACCATCTTTCTGTTACCGTATTTTTGGATGACAGCAGTCAGCTGTCTATTGCAGCAAATAGTCAGAGTCTATTGGAGATTGTAATAACCATATAAAATAATTTTTACCAGTCTCATATATGCAGTGATAGCTTCCAACACTCTCCAGCTCGTTCCGGCAAGATTTAGTTTAATCCATGCTGCAGTTACTGTTTTTTTTTGGAACAGCAATGTTCTTCTCAGAAATGCATTCTCCCCCAGCCCATATTTACTAAGTGGATGCCAACTAGGCCTGGGTTCAGCAACGTCTACAAGGCCGGTGTTACAAGGATTTAAACAGAAAACAACACAAAAGCATACACAAACCAGAGCAGTTCTTGCTGGCAGTTCAAAAATGCTTGGCTGGGGTCATGGGGTGTCTGTCTCGGATTCAGAGGTGTCACTTGTCTCCGACTCAGTCTTTCATCTTTGAGTTAAACTATACTGTAGAAGAGCAAAACAGAATTTGATTTTTTTGTTTTCTTTCCAAGCAGCTCCAGGGCCCAGAGAAAGAGCTTTCAGAATGCCGGAGCCAGCGAAGTCCACCTCTGCCCCCAAAAAGGGCTCCAAGAAAGCTGTGACCAAGACCCAGAAGAAGGGTGACAAGAAGCGACACAAGAGCCGGAAAGAGAGCTATTCCATCTACGTCTACAAGGTGCTGAAGCAGGTCCACCCCGACACCGGCATCTCCTCCAAGGCCATGGGCATCATGAACTCCTTCGTCAACGACATCTTTGAGCGCATCGCTGGAGAAGCCTCCCGCCTGGCCCACTACAACAAGCGCTCCACCATCACCTCCCGGGAGATTCAGACGGCCGTGCGCCTGCTGCTCCCGGGAGAGCTGGCCAAGCACGCCGTCTCCGAGGGCACCAAGGCCGTCACCAAGTACACCAGCTCCAAGTAGCCGGGCCACCACCTCTCCGATGGGACCTTGGAGCACCGGTCCCTCTGTGCAAGCACAGGTAGGCAGCCGCCGTGCGGATAAACGTCACAGCTATTATCCACAGCAAATTCACAGCCTCGGGATGGGCATGAGAAGCTGCCTGGTGGAGGAGGAGACAGTGATCTGGGTGTCGGCTGGTTTCCATAGTCTGTCTGGGACGTGTGACGGGTTCTGCGGGACTGGTGGAGGAGGCCTCTGCTTTCACATCTCATCCGAAGGACTGACCGGCTGCGGTGTATCCAAACTCTCCCCTGTGCTTGGCAAACATGCATGTTGGGTGCTGGCGGGGGAGATTGGCATCCGCAACACGGAGAGCCTGCCTCTGAAGTCTTCCTGTTTGGCTGCTTTCTCACAGTCACTTGAGACAGGCAGCGAGGGGTCAGGGCTGGTGTCCTCTCCCTCGTAGCCCAGATCCATCCTGGCACACAGCAGCACAGCCCACCCCGTGCTGGCAGAAACGGCATCGACAGCTCCCGGGCACCGGCTGTAGGATAAAATCCATACTGATTCAACAGCTATCTGTGCTTGAACGCCCGTCTCAAAGAGCAAGCCCGGCAGAGACAGATGCCCAGGCTGGTACCAAGCGCTGTTCCTCCTCGTTTCTCCTGATGGATGAGCCATCGAGCAGGCCGAGGGTGCCGGTGCTGGAGCTGCTTGCTGCCTCCCTCCTTGCTCCAAGGCAGACGGACGGACAGGGAGGGGTGTTGGGACTGGGTGGCTTCCTTCCCCGGCTGCTGCTTTGCCCGCTGTAGGACTTGCTTTGACGTGCAAGACGTTGCTGATTCTGCTGCTTTTCAGAGACTTTTCCTGCCTCAAAGCCGCCCGGGTGCTCCCTTCCCCCATAAGCGCGGGCGAGACGGGGTGGTGCCCAAGGGGGTCCCTTCTCCTGCGAGCGCTGGGGTGGTGCAGGACAAACAGCACAGACGTGTCAGGAGGGGACTAAGGGTTTGGGAAGGCATCTGGAGGGGGAGCAGGGGTGGTTAATGGAGTTTGGGGAGAGGGAGGCTCCCGGCAGAGATCCCTGCGGGCGGCTCACCTGGCCCTGCCTCCTTGCTTTATTCATCCATTAGAAAGCAAAAGCAAAAGCCAGGGCTGGGTGGATATATAGGGACACTTGCCTGCATCCCGTGATATTTTAAAGATTAAATACTTTCAAACTACTTCAAATACTCCCCACGTCTTCTCCAAGTCCACAGTAAGGTGAGCAATAATAAATTCCAGACAAAAGCCATAGAGATTAGTGGAGGGATGTCTCGGTTGCAGGTTTATCTTGCCCAAACTGCAAGTGTAGAACTGGTGTGAAGTTGCAGCTTCCTACTCAAAACACAAAATTAGCCAACATTTTTTAAAAAATACCAAAATCTCTGGTAGGCAGTAGCACTCAGATAAAAAATATTCACGTCTAAAATAACAACTGCTTTCTACAGCTTTTTCTGTAAATATAAAAAGGCAGCAAAGACACAGGATCCAAAACTAAGTGCATGTTCTCCCCAAACTCCAAGACCTTGCTTTTGATTGAAAGGTAGATTCATATCCCGAAATAGCAACCTTGCAGTACATCTCTCACTTTCCCCTACATTTATCTTTGTCCTGTTTCTTTATGCTTTGAGAGTGATGGGGACCGTTACCAAATTTATGTTGCTTTTGGAGCTGAAGGACTCTGCAACTCCAGAAGATTCGGTTATTTCTTGTTTTTATAACAGTGCTGCAGTCCTTTTCCAGTTGGTCTGAGGAAAGGAGCGCATAGAGCTGCTCAACCAAGAGCACCTCAGAAACCTGTGAGCAGTGTGGGGTCTCCTGTGGTCTCTGTGCAAGAGCGAAGGTCAAGTCGCTTATGGGCTGCTCCCATCCCCCTGCTTTGCATTTAACACCCCACACCCAAAAATGAGCTTTCCTCCCATAGTTTGCTGGGTGCTAGCACACAGCCGTGTTCCATACCCTCATGCCAGCAGGAATCCCCAGCGATAGCTTTCAGGAAGAGCCAAAGCTGTCTCCCCAGGTGTCAGCACCCACAACGAGCGGGTCCCAGCAGCAGTACCTGTGCTCAGAAGCGTTGCTAACCTGGACCACATAGCCAAGACAACTTGGGAGGTGACAGCTTAGCACTTCCTTTTGTTTTTTTAATCAAATAGTCAAAATCAGATACCAAAGATGAAAATGCACCTGCAATGGGTGCAATGGGCTAGAGTCACCATCCTCGGCCCCTCTCCCACCAGAAATCAGACAGGAGATGATGCAGAAGGGGAATATAGGAGTGAAGGGCTGGCTGGCGGTGCTGGAGCTTTCTCTTCCAGTCCTTATGAGCTGCAGGTCAGAATTCATCCCCTTAAAGAGTCCTCCTGAAAGCAGGAATTCAGAGTGCAATAAATTCGCTTCAGTCCAAGCGGTATGTACGAGCCAGGACACACATCTCCTAGGATTACCAATACAGCCTCTAAATCCTCGCTCTTCTGAGCAGAGCAGAGTCCTGCTCCAGTTTCAGCAGGCTGCAAGAAGTCAGGAAAATAAAATGAGACGTTGTCCCTCCAGGGTCTCCTGGGCAGCTCGGGGAGCCAGGGACAAGGCTGGGTGCTCAGACGCGAGCCGCTGGCCCCATACACAAGCTCACAGAACTGGTCTCATTTTCTTCTGCCACAGTTGCCACTCTCCATTTTTGGAGATTGTGTCAGAGAGAGGAGAAATGGCAATTTAAGGCTATAAAAATACTTGAAGGCTTAAAGAGGATTTTTATATTGTCTAAAGCCGAGTGACTGAGACTGTCATGTCCACCCATTTATAGTTTAGGCTGTCATTTCACACATCATTTGCTCTTCACTCTCCCTTTGCATCATTTCTGTACTTGCCCCTGACAGTGGATTAGGAACTGATCCAGGTTAAAATGAACCTTTTTTTTTTTTCCTTTCTTGCAAGGTTTGTTTTAACCTAGTTCTGGTGGCTGCTCTGATCTGTCACTGTCAGACAGAGACTTGTGCCAGCCAAAAGAAGGGCTGATCCAGGAAAAGCAAGGCTGGCATAAGCTAGGACTGCTGCAGAAAGCTGTTGGGAAATTAATGGCCCTAGTGTCAAAGAAAAATGAAGAAAGGAAATCTGTGTCTGCTGCAGTGGTCCCGTTAGCAGCAAAGATGTGGCTTTTAAATACACCGCTATGGGTGTTACCCCTGCAGTGTCCCACAAGCAGTTCCTCTGACGCTGGAAATCAGACACGTCCCATTTCTGCAGATCTCAGGTGTTGCAGAGAGGCAAGGGAGCAGGTTGGGAAGGGCACTCTGTGCCCACGCAGCCACCCAGCTGCAGTGGTCGGAGGCTCCTTGTTCAGCAGGCAAACGGAATGTGAGGCAGCCTTCCCTTTCCTTCCCTTCCCCTTCCCCTTCCCCTTCCCCTTCCCCTTCCCCTTCTCTCAGTGCCTGCTGCTCTGCAGGAGCACAATCACAGCACGGCACTGGGAATTGTTTTGACTGTGATGAGCTTGGGCTGAGCCTTAATAGTAGAGGCAATAGTCAGTGGTCTGAAAGTTCAAGCATCGATTGTCCACTCAGTAATCTGAGGTGGGACATATTCCACAGTCCCCTGTCAAGGGGATTCGCTGCAGAAGAGGAGTTCTGCACTTCAGGATGTGTGCTTTTAAAAAAATACGTATTTCCAGCTCTGGAATTGATAAAACACTTTAAAAGTGAAGATAATATACTGAGTCCCACTGTCCCTACCTGATTCCTATTGCAATCCCAGAGGCATCTTGGGGCCATTCCTGTGTTTCACCAATTTTAAAAAAAAAAAAACAAAAACAAAAACAAAAACAAAAACAAAAACAAAAAAACAAACTAAAACCAAACTGCAGATTGAAAGTTGGAAAAGGAAGCTGAAAAAGAATAATACAGCCTTGATACTAGTTTCATATTAACCCCATGGACATAACTGCACTGTCTTACTTGTTGTAATGCACAATTTAAGAGAGAAAATAAGCTACTATAGATCTACTCCTGATACTCCATCCTGCTTCCCTAGAATGGCTTAAAGTCCGTCTGCCCTTCACAGCAGAGCCCAACCTGCAGAAGAACCAAGGTCCACACACATGGAGGTTTGCTCCTGCTCGGGACAGACAGGTCTTTAGTCAAGCACCGGGGAAAACGAGTAAAAACAAGTGTGGAGGACGAGGTGCCTGCTGCATGTCCAGGGAAGGGACACCTGAGCAGAGACCACTGAAGAGCCCTGCCCAGAGGAGCTGTGTGGCTGTGTGCCCGGGTGGCAGGCAGCCATGTGGAGGTATCCCCAAGTCCTGGCCACCCCTGGAGTCAAGCTTGCCATGGCCTCTGCACCCACCTGAGCAGTTGTCCCATTGTAGCATTTCCTGACAGTTTACATCCAGACCAAATTGTTTACAGGGAAAAGGAAGAATGTGAACTAAATCATAAAAAATCACTTGCTGCCAGAATTTCGAGAGTTCCCTGGGACCAGCACCTGGGGAGCAATCTCTCGTGCTTATTCTCCATGCATGGTATCTTGTGGGCTTACGCACACAGAGTTCTTCTGACAGTGTTACATCAAGTATGATCTATGTTACATTACTGCTGCTGTTTTATGACCAATCTTGCTGCTAGTTACCTGTTTTCTGTTAAAGGTATAAATAAAATGAAAATGCCAACCTGTTGAAAGTCAGGTGAGACCCAGCTGTCAGGATGTCTTTGTTTCTGCCCTACCACCAGGGTCCCCCCAAGCCCTACATTTCTCTTTCTCCATCATATTTCCTCCAGATCCAGGGTGGGAGCAGTCACCCTTCCAGCAGAGATGGAGCCTGGCTGGTCCTGGCAGAGGGTCAGTCAAAAACCAGAGCCATCCCTCACTGAGGGGATGTCACGAGCTGCCACCGTGAGTCCTCACAAGATGTCACCTAGCCCACACATGGGCGCAACGTGAGCATCTGTGTGTTTTCAAGCTGTTCCAGTGAGCTTGTCCCCAACAGAGCCGAGCCTGCAACCTGTCCTTGTCACACTCCTGCTTTGGGATGCTCAGTGCTTGGCACCCGTCCTTTAACCCCACAAGGGGCAACAATTTTGACTTGCACAGACTGACTGAGCACTCTGAGATTCTGTGCTTGGAAAAGTGGTTTTTTACACATTCCGGACTACCGTTTATCTGAATTAACAATTGCTGCCACTAGAAACATCTTTTCGTGGACTATGAGAAGTTATAAGCAACAAACATGGAATTAGATGTAGCGTCTGAAAACCCAAAGAAGAGAATTATCTTCCTTTTAAAGAATGATTGGTAAATACACTCAAGAGAAACACTTTCCTGCTGGACATCAGCATCATAATGCACTCACTGGAGCAGGAAATGCCTGTGCCGTGATAGACGCCGTGTGCTGGAGAAACAAGCTAAGACTTCAGATATGGAATAGAACAGAAATCAGAGCTAAAAATATTTAGACTCTCTTTAAAGACAGACTCATAAGCTTAACATAATTAGGGGAATGCAGTATTTGGAAGAAAAAAAACCCCAACACCTGGCCCTAGGGAAGACCCAAACCAGGTTACAACAGGTAGAGTATAACACATGGTCATGCTTCTTCAAGATGTTGGGAGATAGCTATTTTTTTTTTTAGTTATTCAATTATTCAATTATTCTTTAGTTATTATTGACAGGTTATTCAAAGATTGTTAGGTGGACTTGGGTGCCACATGGCTAAGGCTGTTGGAACCAGATACAAGAACTCAGGGGCATCAAAAGAAACCAGGAGAGAACATGGTTTAAAATTAAGTAAAAAGGAGCATGCAACAGGCAGAGCACTTATTGAGCCCTTTGCCAACAAACGTTGGAGGTGTTACAGTTTGGTTCAAGAACACATTAATGGAAGGGAAATCCATTTAGAGTTGCTAAACACATTTACACTGTGTTGGAAATTATTAGAAGCTGGGAGAATAGGAGGGCATTACTATACGTGTCTGCCCTCTTCCTACAGCTTTGCTTGCCTGCTCTCTCATGGCCACAGCTGGAAAAATTGGGTTGGATGCACCAAAGGGCTGACCCAGGTTGTCTGCATAACTTCATGTAAAGTCTCCCTTGACGCTGTCAAGTCTACCCATGAACTGTGGAGGGTTTCAGGCAGTTTTCTTGGGCCTCTGATGCTTAGAAGAAAGCGTAAGACAAACGTTTTTATCTTCCTTTCCTACATGGCTCCTCCACTTGCCTTCGTGTTTATGTGGATTGTGTTAGCCTGGCTTACATGAAAGATGTGAGAGATGGTTTGTTTCTAAAATAGTTAGAGTTAATAAACACAGATGGTGTGAGAAAGAGAGAGGAATGGAACTTCTGGTTTCTCATATAAAGGGAAGCTGTTCTCAAAAATATTTCTCATTTTCTTCCTTGAATCAGTTGATTTAAAAAAAAAATTATACACAATTTCCTGTCTTTTATTGTCCATAATGCTAATTCCCCCCAAAACCAATCTCTTACAGAATTCATTCAGAAAAAAAATTCTTACAGATTTAACTGCAAGAATGTTGTATCAGTAATAGAAAAGGGAAAACTGGGGAAGGACTGGGAATGGCTGGGTGTGAGGCACCAGAAGGGACCAAAGGCTGGAGACTACAAGTGAATGCTGTAGGAGTGTCAGGCGCTGATGGGACCTCGATGAGGAGCCCACCAAGATGCCAGCACACGCTGCGAGCAGCTGCTTGGGACACAGTCAGGAAGCAAAGGGCTTGGAGTGAATCCTGGCAACTCCCGGGGTGGAGCTGGGTGGACAGTGTGGTTGCTGCCGGCAGCTAAAGGGTAAAAAAGGCACGTCTGGAGCCAGCACGTGGTCACCAACCTAAGAGGAACCCAGGAAATTTGATGAGGACAGTCAAAGTCTTTGTGAAGATGGACACGGCATCCTGGTGTCTGCCTGCAGTCAGACAGCTCGGGTACACCCATCTTGTGAGTGCGTGGGTAGGAGAACGTGAGCGTGAGTGACTCAAATCAGCAGTGCTTTAAAATAAATTCACATGCCTATAAGGTGATAAAGTCACCCTCCTATAGGGACCAGCAGTGCGTTTGCTACGCTGTAGTAGCTCATCAATTGTTCACTTACATCCAGCTGCTGTGCACCTCCCCAGTCTGCTGCCCACTGAACCTCCTCCCGTGCAGGTGAGGGGGAGCATTCTTTCTACAAACTACATCCAAATTTGCCAACACTGAACCAAGTGTCCAACACAACTTTTTAAATAAACCAGGAGGTGCTTCTGACCTAACCTGCCCCATGGGCTTGGACATGTCCTGGTGAGTTCCAGGCTGCCTCTGAGAAACATAGCTACAGACAGGAGAGCCATGAGTGCTGCTGATAGAAGCACTCAGTCTCCTCTCTTCACCTGAGTCTGGGAAGACCAACAAAAGGAGGGAACATAAGTGCACCACGTCCAATTTCACAGAATCACAGAATCTCAGTGGTTGGAAGGGACCTCCGAGATCATCGAGTCCAACCACAAAAAACAAAACCAAAACAAAAAACAAACATAAAAAACCCCCACAACCACCACAAAAACAACAAACCCAAAACCACCACCCACCAACTAAACCCCACACCCACAACCCCATATACTACACCCCACCACAACCCAATAATCTTGGGCACTAGAGCATGCCCTGAAGAGCCACGTCTACACGTTTCTTAAATACCTCCAGGGATGGTGACTCCACCACCTCCCTGGGCAGGCTGTTCCAGTGCTTGACTAAAGTGAAGGAAATGTGAGGGTCCTATGGCCATTTATGATCTTCTTTGTGTAGGCTTTCTGTTTCTTTGGAGTGCTGCAGTACTCAAGGACTCCCAGGAAGCCTGGTCTTGCAGGCACTGTTGGAAACAGGCTATTCAACTGCTCCATCTCAATAAAACCTGCCCTTGTGGGAAGCTTTCTGAGACATGGCTCACTTTTAGCAAAGTGGGAAGCCTGCGACGGCAGGGGCTGCTGGTAGATGGTTGCTTTCATTGAGAGGTTACTTTGTTGGGTTGAGCCTTTATCCCGTAGCCAGTTCCTCCTGTCGTCAAGGTAATAAAAAGTCACATTCAAGTGCTGATCTTGGAGATGTGGCATCCTCCCATCTCCTCTCACAAGCTCCCTGCAATGCCACATCTGTACGGTCACACCCGCGTGAGCTCACGTTAAGCCCGTAGCGCTCCCACGCTGACTTGCTCTCTGGCCCAAACTGCAGCTTTGAGTGGGAAACTCGGTGGGGGAGCAACATAAGAAAATACAAATTTATCCCCCCACCCCTTTTGCAGCCGGTGTTGTAGCGAGAGGACCCAGACACCTCTCGCCGCAGCTGGTCTCGGCGAACAAAAGCTGCCTCGGTGGGGTCCACCAGCAGCCCCTGGCCACTTGGCAGGAGAGAGACACAGCTCTTTTTTAACCAGGATGATTCAACACAAAGAAGCCTTTATAGCTCAGCAGCAGGCATCTCGCGCCTCTTCTCATCACGCCTCTTCTCAGGTTTTAAATACAAGGGGACAAAAGTTCTTACAAACCCCTGATTCTGTCAATTCCCTCAACATATGCCTGTAATGCCAGAAATGGCATTTAAGTGTCTTTAAATGGAAAAGATTGGGAATCACGGGACACCGCATGCACTGTCTCTCTTTCAGAGCCAGCATCTTCACCAATATTCTGTAATAGTCTGTATTTGTAGGGCAGGATCCTGAACAGCACTGAAGGGCAGCAGAAGAAAGCTCAATGCAAGCAGCTGTGCGCCGTGAAGGATGAGGAGAAGGTTCTCCACGCCAAAGGGTATCACAGCAACTGGGAGCTCAGCCATATCTTAAAGGGATTAGAAGTGCGTAGAGGGCAAAAAAAATTTTAATAACAAAAGGCTAAATAGATGCAAGCTTGCAAGCAGTGGTAGCTCTTTGCTTTATAAGAAAGTTACACCAGATACAAAGGCACAGCAGGAAGTCTTGCTCCATCCTGCCCGCTGCTGTGGGGCTTGCAGCGTCCCCAGAAACAGCCCAGACCTGTCAGCCCTGGCCAGGAGCCTCCACTAGGTAGAGGCAGAACAGAAATTCATGCCCCTAAGTGCCCTATTCACATGAATAAATAGTCAGTTCAGAAAGGAATAGTCAATTTTTGGAAGTTTTCCGTCTGTTTTGTTTGTAATTTACGATTTGGATCGCACTTTTCATGTTTTCTTCAGGGGTTAGCCTGGCTGTGGATAACTTTGATGCTCAGGTACACACTTGCCCGTGTCAAGATCTGAGCAGGCAACAGCTCTGGAAGTGACCTGGAAAAGCATGAAGTCAACCTAAATACCTGCAGTTTTGCTTCTGGGCAAAAAAAGACGCCAAAGCATCTGTGCCTGTCCAAGGATGAGCAATTTTGTACTGATACTTAACCCTGATGTTCTTCCAGTTTCTCCCTAGCAAGCTGGTTTAGGAAAAGCCAGAGCAGAGAGCCGCTGCTTGTTCATTTCATGCTATAGTTCAGGAAAAAAAAGCAAACCAAACAGTTACCTTGATTCCTTTCCTCCCTCTTTTTGGATGAGTGGGAATGGGGGCTTGGCATAAGACCCCTAAGCGTGAGGAGAAGTGCAGGAACTGCTGGCTGCAGCCACCCGCTTCCCAGCTCACAACCCCCAGCCCTGCAGCTGCTCCTGTTGCTAACCTGGGACGTGCCTTCTACCCCTCCTTCCAAGGCTGGGCCA